ATATTTGTTTGTTACAAAAGTGCTATTTTCAATTTATGCGCGCATTACTCAAACTGACATGCGACTTTAAGTCACAACTTTAATCAACGTTTGCGGTTTTTGCCTCCGACAATCACGGTCTTTCTTTAGCAAGTTCCAAAAGTCACAACGTTTTTGAGCTGCAGATTTTGCGAACCATTGTCGTAGCAAAATGTTTTAGCAGAAAATAAAAATAAAAAAATAACAAAAATAACAAAAATGAGTATTTTTCTGCTAGCAACAAATTTCTTAGGCTTACTTAATACGTGTTGATTTATTTTCATTAGGCCCTTTTCTTAATGTGTTTTCATAAGAAAAAAGAAAGGAATGCGTTTCCTGAAAATTTCCAGGCATTCCTATATTGATTCGCTTATAGCGGAGCCTTCGCGCGCCCGTAGAAGCGCACGCCGCGGAGCCCCTGACTGTTCCATTCCGAACCTGATAGAAGAAAACATAAATTTATGGCGAATACAAAAATCAGCAAGATTTTTCTTTAAGGTTGACGATCTCGTTGCCATCGTCGTTGCCGTCGTCGTTCCTAAACCTCCCTAATAAGAACGCCAAAAAGCAATAGGTTTGTTCAGCAAGAGAACAGCTTTGCACGTGCATCACGCTTTTTTTGCCCATTTCTTTGTGGCCAACGCATAACGTCGACGTGAAAATGCCTAATTGCACGTTTTATGGAGGAAGTAGGTGTTTTTTCTCAACACTTTTTTCTTAATCACCCAGCCCCCATAATTCAAAAGGAGGTCTATTTTTTTGGCTCAGAGTTTATTATATTTTCGTTAACTGCTTACATATATATAAGTATATAAACGGAGGCTTCGCTTTTAGTCCTGATTAAAGCTATATACTAGTAAGTAAGTAATTAATAACCTTATTTAACCACGGAATCCTTATCACTAAAAAGTGGTCTTCTAAAGAGCCGTGCACATTAAACTAAGACTTAAAAATAACAAAGATTATTGAAAAAATCCTATAATAAATGCCTACTAAGAAAGTCTTAATGTACAATAGCGGAATAAAAACAATTTAAAGTAGTGGCCTGCTTTTAGCCTCAGCTGACAGGCTGTTCCATGTTACTGGGCCCCTATAACGAAAACGTTTTTTTAGGGCCTCAGTGTTCGGTCGCGGAATAAACAGGTTATGTTGCGCACCTCGAAGATTATGCCTGTGAATGGTATTAATGCCGGCGAATTTATCAGACAGGTATTCGGGTACAAGGTTGCTTAGCACCTCTGTCAGCGAGGCTATCCCATTTAAGGGCATGAAGAATCGGGGAAGAGCTGGCATCCCAGCTAGACCCTGTAATTATGCGTGCAGCCCTGTTTTGTAGTTTCTCTAGTTTTTGGCTGAGACCATTACCGATGTAGCCCCAGACAGCGCTGCAATAATTAATCGAGATGCTGAAGAATCAATGACTTGTAAATAGTGACAAGGGTACTCTGGGGACATATTGGTGTTAGCCTCCTCAGGGCAGCTAGTACTTTTGCAACTTTACCGATGACTTCGGAGATGTGAGCGTCCCACGAGAGTGTTTCTTCAACCTGAACACCTAGGCATTTGTAACGATTGACTCTTTCAACTGAATGCCCGTCGAGGGATATGTGTGGATCGCTAGGGAGCAAAGAGATTTTTTGCCTCGCGCCTGTAAACAGACACTTAGTCTGGAGGACATTAAGACTTAGACGGTTAGAATCGTGCCATTGCTTCAGATTGCCCAAATCATGAGTCAGGGATGAAAACAACTCATTAGGGTCTTTGGAGACAAACGTGAGATTATTGCCATCGGTG